GGGGCCGGGGGGAGGGGCGGCCTGGGGGGGCCCCAATAGTTTCATTCAGCCGGGCCCGGCTCGAGCATCTCCCCAGCTGCCTCCTCCAAAGGAGCCTCCTCGTGGGCAGAACCCCCCCTCAAAACACGAGACCCCCCCCAAATCTTACCCCCCTAATCTCCCGTCTGCACTGGGAGGGGGGTAGGAGCATCGCAGTGAGCAGCACGGGGGTGGGGGGGTGCAGGGCCCCCGGGTGGGGTGCTGCTRGGGGCTCGGGGTGGGGGGTCAGGCTGGGGGCTGTAGCAGCAGTAGGACGCCCCCCCCCCTCCAAGCAGCACCCACGTCCGGGCCCATCCTGGGGTCCCCAGAGGGAGGGAGCAGGGTGGGGGACACCAAGTTTGGGGTACATGAGGTCCCCCCTGCTCTGGAGGATGGGGCAGTTCTGCCCATGAGGTGACATCAGAGATGGACACACAGACCAGCAGCTCCTGGGAGACACTGGGCACTACTGGGAGCCCAGCAGGCCGGTTCGTTTCACGCTCCCTGACGCCCCTGCCCATCCCGCCTCCTGAGCCCTTCTGCACCCCATGCAAAGACCCCCCTCTTTGTCCCCAACCCCCGCCAGGGACCACCAGCCCCCTAACCCACCCCCCGAGTCCAGGACAGCCGCCTGGCCGGGGGTGCTGCCGGCCGCCCCCTCCCGCCTGGGAGCACCGAGCTCTGTTTATCCCCCTTCCTTCCTTCCTTCTTCCTTCACTCACAGGGTGCTTGGTGAGGGAGAGGAAGGAAGAAAAGAAGGAGGGAAAAGAAGAAAATGGAAAAAAAAAAAAAGGAAAAGAAGAAAAAGAAAAAAAAAAAAAGAGGGAGAAGAAGAAAAAAAAAAAAAAAGAAAAAGAAGGAGGAAAGAAAAAAAAAAGCCGAGCAGGAGGCAGAGCGTGTTTTGCCTCCCAGGCAATATTTCTGGAGCCAATCGGAATGCGCACCCACCCTGCCCTGCTCCCTAATTAAAGGCTTTAAGCCGGCGGCCGGGGCCGGAGGTTTGGGCACAGTCGCTCGGGCGCTCGGCGCGAGAGGCCGAGGAGGAGCTGGGAGCCGGGGGCTGCCGCCGGGCGCCAGCCGGAGCCGTGAGGCCGGGGGGGGTCCGCAGAGCCCCCCCACCCCCCCACCCCGCTCCCGCCATGAGCGGCTCCTTCGACAAGAAGCTCTCCAGCATCCTCACGGACCTGTCGGGCTCGCTGAGCTGCCATGCCGCCTCCAAGGACTCGCCGACACTGCCCGAGTCCTCCGTCACCGACCTGGGCTACTACACGGGCCAGCACGACTACTACGCGGGCCAGTCGTACAGCCAGCCCGTGGGCCACTATCCCTACCACCAGTTCAACCTCAACGGCATCGGCGCCGCCGGCACCTACTCGCCCAAGTCCGACTACTCGTACAGCCCCTCGTACCGCCAGTACGGCCACTTCAGGGACCAGCAGCTCCCGGCGCAGGAGGCAGGTAGGAAATCCCGGGAGAAAGCCGGCGGGACGGGTGGGCAGACGGGTATGGACATCCCGCACATTCCTGGTCCGGAGAAGGCAGCGCGCTGGGGTAGAGAGCTCCATGTGCCAACATGCCCCATGACGGGGCCAGTGGCGGGACGTCTGCGCGGATTGGGGGGACCGCTCGAAGGAAAGGGGGGACCCCCGTCCTGACGCCCGCGCTCTGTGCCCAGTGTCGGTGAAGGAGGAGCCGGAGCCGGAGGTGCGGATGGTCAACGGGAAGCCCAAGAAGATCCGCAAGCCGCGCACCATCTACTCCAGCTACCAGCTGGCGGCTCTGCAGCGGCGCTTCCAGAAAGCCCAGTACCTGGCGCTGCCCGAGCGCGCCGAGCTGGCCGCCCAGCTGGGGCTCACCCAGACCCAGGTAAGAGCCGGACGCCTGGGCCCTCCCGCCGCCCTGGCCGGGCTGCAGCGCCACCCAACCGGGGGATAGGGCGGATCGGGCCCCTTTTCCCGGTTTTCAAGGCTCATCCCTGTGGTTGCCATCGGCACCTGGAGTGYGGTGGCAGGGAGCTGCTCCGAACCTTCCTGCTGCTCCCATTCCCTGAGTCCTCTCCCATCTGAGAAAAAGGGGAATTTGGGAAGCAGGMGCTTCCCCCGCACAGGGGCCGGTTTGGGGTTCAGGAGCTGCAGTTTGGGTTGTATTTGAAGCCTTGCTGCGAGGGCTGTGAAAGCGGGTGCCAGACCAGTATCCCGGGTGTCTCTGGCAAAGGAGAGGGTRAATTTGGGAACGGGGGAAGGAGCGACCCGACAGCGGGAGCCCCCGTCTCCGACGCGCCAGGAAGCGCTGACGTGGAGCCTGTCCCGTCCCCAACGCGCAGCAGCACCGAGGGGTCAACCCACGTTCTGGGGGGCTCAGAGGAGCCCCCGGGGCTGCCCCGCTCCCCCCGGCCCCCACTCATCCCCCAGGGCCGGGCCCCGGGTGCTGGCGCCCTTGCGCCGCCCTTGGTGCCGCGCTCGCCCTTCCTCCTCCTCCTCCTCCTCCTCCTCCCCGGGGCGATGAAGCAATCGGGGCCACTCGCAAAGGGCTGACGGAGCGCGTCACCCGCTCCCAGAGGGACATCCTGTTTGGGTGACAACCGCCGTCCCGTCCCGTCCCGTCCCCCCCCCGCCCCTTCGCCGGGGGCCAAGGGCGCCGCGTCGCCGCCTCACCCAGCGCCAGCGCCGGCGCCGCGGCCCGCGTGACGCCGCGGCCCCGACACTCCCCGCGGCCCCGTGGGGCGGCCCCACGCCCGGGGGTCCCCACGGCTCCTCCCGCTTGCACCCTGTTTTCCAAGCGCTGCGCTCTGCCGGATGCTCCATGCGCTCCGTTTTCCCGCAACACCCCCAATCCTCCTGTTTTCCCTCAGCGTCCCAAACCCCAAGTTTTCCCATGATGTCCCAAACCCCGCTGCTTTCTGGTGACACCCCGAATCCCTTTATATCCCTGCCATGTCCCAACCCCCCCATTTTCCCGCAACATCCCCCCCTTTTCCCACGGGGGCGCCCCTCACTCCCCTCTCCTCGCTCCCCCCCGGCGCCCAGGTGAAGATCTGGTTCCAGAACCGCCGCTCCAAGTTCAAGAAGCTCTACAAGAACGGCGAGGTGCCGCTGGAGCACAGCCCCAACAACAGCGACTCCATGGCCTGCAACTCGCCGCCCTCGCCGGCCGTCTGGGACAGTAACTCGCACGGCGCCGCCGCCGCCGCGGGCCGGACGCCGCTGCCGCAGCCGCTGCCCTACAGCTCCTCGCCCGCCTTCCTGGACGAGCACAACCCCTGGTACCACCCGCAGAGCCTCGGCGCCCCCCACCTGCCCCCGCAGCCCCCCGGCCCCGCCGTGCACCACGCCTCGCCGGGACCCCCGGCCAGCTCCGGCGCCGTCTACTAGCGACACGGCCAGGACGTTTGCCTTGCTCGTGGGGTTCTGTTTTTTCCTTTTTTTTCCCCCCCCCCCACCCTGTTCTGATTTTTTTTTCCCTCTTTTTTGGGAACGTGTTTCCAGGACACACATGTACGCACGCCCCTATGTATTCGCTTATGTATGCTAGACTCTCCCAGCTCGTCTCAGGAACAGCAGAACTGCAAAGTTCARCGCCCCAGATCCACACCGAGAGCAGAGGGAAGGCACAAGAGCGGTGGCAAATTCTTCCTTAAATATATATATATATATATGTATATATATATATATTCTTTTTCCATCACCCCTCTAATGGCAACAGAGCTCTGGTGTCACCCGGCCACCAAGGAGCGGTAGCTCCGGGAGTTCCGCCGCTGCCGGAGCCGCACGATTCCCKGGAGCTCCATGAGCCGCTTCCTTCAGGATGTGGGAGCCCGACGACCACTCATCCCCAAGGATCAGCTGGGGGCGGGAATGTCGCTCCCGATGGGAAAGAGGGGGCCAAAGGCGCCGTGAGGAAGAGGAGACAAAGAAGAGCGGCAACGTTTTGTCAGCTCCATCCATCCCCAAACGCGGGCGGCCCTTTGCAGAGCCCCTGCCGCCCTGGATCCGGACACTCTGGATGCTTTTCCAGCACCTGAATCCATGCCCGCTGCGGGCGGATGGATCCAGAGCCCACGCTCGGCAGGTGCCAACGGCGCCCGGTCCCGGCCGGGCCGATGGGACCCGGGCAGCGGCGTYGGCCTCCGCGCGGGAACCGCCCGGGACGATGCTCCAACCACGAGGTGGTTATTTAAAAGAGAAGGGGGGTGGGGGGGGAGAGCATATTTTAATATTTAAAACTGTTCGGGAATGGCTTAAGTTATTTTTTAAAAGAGAAAATGGTTGTGCTGATGCCCGTTTTCTAGCAGTGCCTCCACCTGTGTCATTTAAGCTAATGGCAAAGCCGATATTGCCTATTTTTTAAATAAATCAACAACAGGTTTTAAAAAAAAAAGCTCTAATATTTTTTAAGAGAATTATGCTATTTTTTTAAAAGCAGAAAGTGCCGTTTTAAGAAGCGTTCGTATGTGTTGTACAGTCCCGAGGATCTTATTTATGTCGCCTTATATAAATAGGGGTGAACGGGGGAAAAAAAAAACAGCGTGTACATAAGGTTTGTTTGTATAAAGTTGATGAAAACTGAAGTGTTTTGCTCTGCTTTTTTGCTTGCTTTAAAAAAAAAGAAACAAAAAAAAGAAAGAAACAAACAAAAAAAAAAACCAAAAAAACAAATCTCCCCCCCCAAAAAAAAGACCAATAACAACAAAACCAAGCTCTGAAACCTGGAGCTCAGCCCTGGGCTCCAGTGTGGCCGGCAAGGGAATCCGGGGACACTGGGTTGCAATTCGCGCCGGACGCGGGGACCTGCCGCCTTTCCCACCTTGTTACTGGGAGTAACTGGGAACCAGTAGGTTTTTGGCCGTGCAAACTGGGGGAATGAGCAGGGGGACTGTTCATCCCTTGGGATCAGGGGACCSGAGTGTCACGGCCGACTCTTCACCACTGACCTGGGTGAATCTGCCTGGCTCGTCCGGCCCAGGACAAATCCTGGTGCTTTGGAGCGGGGGGAATTTGTCCCGGATCCGAGGGGACGGCAGCTGCTTGGAAGCGGCGCATCCCGGCATGGCCATCCTCGCAAAGACGGGGACTTCGCTCCGGGGCCGCCTTGYGCCCGGGTGCCCAGCAGCCCCCCGGCTGCCCCCGATCCGCAGCAGCGAAGCCCAAACGGCGCCTCGGGAGCCGCGGGGAGCGCAGCAGGACCCTGGCGCCGCGGGAAGCAGTGGGGGGGTCGCTCCGGTCCCCCTTCCCGCGGGAAGCATCCAGGAATCCCACCGGGGTCTCGTCCCYGCTGTAGCCCAGTCTGATGCCCTCAGAGCCGCCTGCTCCGAGCTTCCCATGGGAAATCCCGGGTGGAGTCGCCAGAGCATCCCCCCTCCCCGGATTCACCCGGAGGGCGAGAAGCCACCGGAGAGGCGCGTGGCCCCGGGGTGGCAGCGTCCCCGTGGTGCCGCGTCCGCAGGGCTGAGGGGCCGGGAGGCTGCGGGCGAGGCGGGCGCGCGGGCAGACGCGCCGGAGACACCGCGTKTTATGAGAGGCGGGGAGGCTGCCAGCGAGGAGCGGAGGCGGCTGAGCGGGGAGGACGGCGGGCGCCGCGGCCTCGCGCGGCGGGAGCTGCCCGGGCGTTATTAGTGTTGTTTGAATTGAGGGGGGAAAGAAGGAAAGAAAGAGCGAAAGAAAGAGTGAAAGAGCRAAAGAAAGAGTGAAACAGCAAAAGAAAGAAAGAGCAAAAGAAAGAAAGAAAGAGCGAAAGAAAGAAAGAAAGAGCAAAAGAAAGAAAGAGCGAGCAAAAGAAAGAGCGAAAAAAAGAAAGAAAGAAAGAAAGAAAGAAAGAGCGAAAGAAAGAGTGAAAGAGCAAAAGAAAGAAAGAGCAAAAGAAGGAAAGAAAGAAAGAGCAAAAGAAAGAGCAAAAGAAAGAGCGAAAGAAAGAGCAAAAGAGCGAAAGAGCGAAAGAAAGAGTGAAAGAAAGAGTGAAAGAAAGAGTGAAAGAAAGAGTGAAAGAAAAGAGTGAAAGAAAAGAGTGAAAGAAAGAGCGAAAGAGCGAAAGAGAGAAAGAGAGAGAATGAAAGAATTTCCTATGCACAGACTATAGAGCCTGGGTGCATCACTCTGCAGACAGGCGCTGATGCAGCTCCCCTCCAGGAGCACTGCTGCCCAGGCCTGACGCCGCGGTGACGGGCTCCCTAGCTCAAACACGGCCCCTCATCCCCCTCCAGCCGGTTCTCTTTTCTCTCGGCATCCCGCCCGCGGAGCCCATCCCGGCCGTTCCGGCTCCAGCGCCACCGCTCCGGCTCCAGCGCTGCTCCAGCGTCGCCCCGGCTCTCGGCTGACGCGGCGCACGGCAGCCGCAGCGGTGCCAGGCAGGAAGGGGACGCAGAGCAGCCGTCCCCCGTGCAGCTTCCCCGGCAAGGCCAAGGGGTGGCTTTGCAGCCGCTGCCCTCCGCGGAGGTGCAGCCGCTCCAATCGCCTCGACCCTCCAGGAAGGGCATTTCCCAAGGATTTTGCTCGGCCGCTGGGCCAGGGATGCTGCGGCCAAGGGAGAAGAGCGGGGAGCTCTGCTTCAGCGTTGCGCTGCTGAAAACACCAGGGAAGMGGCCAAGTGCACGGGGGGAAAGGGCAGAAAATTCTTAACAGCCACCCCTGAACTCGAGACCCTTCCCTACTCCACGACGCCCCAAACTGCCGCTAGACTTGGCCCATCTCAGCCCGGAGTGAAGGATCCTGGTAGAAACCGGCCCCGGAGGAGCCCATTCCCTGCCAGGAGCCGAGGCAATGCGGGTTTACGTCCCTGGTGCCAGTCCTCAAAGCCCAGCTTCCCGGAGGAGCCAGGCAGGAGCAGCTGGGCGATCCCAACCCACCGTCACGGTGCTTTATTAGCAACACGTCTTCAGCAGACGCTAATTGCCCAYGACTCCCCCAGGAGGGTGGTGAGGAGCCCCCTCTCCCACCGTTCCTGCAATTGCGGCCCCATTTTGGAGCGGTGTGTGGATGTGCAGCKGGGGGCAGCCCCCTTGCCCACACTCCGGCTCCTGGGTGTTATCATCCCTGGAGTTTTCCYGGGTATCATCCCAGGGGTGTCACCCCAAAGCCCCCACAATGTGTCTGACGGGAGCACAAGGCACTGGCGCAGCCGGAGCTTTACATTTGTATGGTTGTTTTTATAAAGGAAACATATACAATAAAAAACGTCCTTATAAATAAAGCCAGGCTGGGGGCAGCCCCTTGTCCAGGTGGCTCCAGGAGCTCTCCAGTCCTTCCCAGAGCTKCATGGAGCCCCCTCAATGGAGACCCCTCCCGTGTCTATCAATGGAGGCATCCGGGAGCTCCGAGCCCTGCCTGCCAGGATGCAGGAAGGAGGATGCCCAATGGGTAGAGAGCAGTCACCTTCCTCCTCCTCTTCTTCCTCGGCTGATGCCGGCAGCTCCATGGGGGCTCCCCGCACCCGAAGCCAGCGGGTGCCGGAGCGGCKGCAGTGTCACATCATGGGGGCGCGGGGGACGACGTCCTGCGCGTGCGGCTGGTACCAGGGCCCGAAGCTGCCGAGGTAGCCGCCGGGGACCAGGGGGGGCCCCTTCGCCGGCAGGGGCAGCTCCCAGAGCGGCGGGATGCCGGGCGAGCAGGGCGAGAGCGAGGCGGGGGGCGCGTGGAGGGGCTGGCCCTCGGGCGCGCTCGGGCCCTGCTTCATGATCTTCTTGTACTTGGAGCGCTTGTTCTGGAACCAGATCTTCACCTGCGGGAGAGAGCGAGGTGAGCCGGGGCGAGGGGACGGGAACTGGAACAGAGTTCCCCTTGTACCACTCCCCCAGCGTCAGTGCATTTTAACAAACCCTTTTGGGGTCGCCGCCTCCCATTCCCTAAGGCTAAACATGCCCTTGTCCAACCCATTCCGCCTGGAGCGGGGGTCTACAGGATAAGCCAGGCTCGGAGCCCAACCCTTTACAAGCCACTAGAGAATCCAGCACAGGCAGCTGGAGGGAGCCGAGGTGCAGTGAGGGCAGGCGATAAGCGGAGCGGGCCGCGGGAGCCGCGTCCCCGCGTTCCCCCCGCGCGCCGGGGCCGCGGCCGGCCGGGCGCCGGGGCTGGGCCGGGCGCGGTGGCCCCCGGGGCCGGCGAGCGGCTGCCGGGTGGCGGCCCCGCTCATTCCTCCCCGGGCTCCCCCCCGCGCTGCCGGCAGGTTCCCACTTGCCTCCTCTTCGGCGCCTTTATGAGCTCGCTGCGCCCGTGGCTCCGGGCTGCACCGCTGCCGCCTGCCTGTCTCTCCCCATCGCCTTCAAAAAGCCGCTCGCCCCTTCCCGCGGCGCGGGGCACGGCCGGGCCGGCAGCCAGGCTCCGGGGCTGGGAAAGTCCCGGTGCCGCTGGGAGGTGCTGCCAGGGCACCCCCAGCTCCCAAAGCGGCGGCCCGTGCGGCGCCTGCTCCCCCCGCAGCCCGGCTCCGAGCCCGGCGCGCCCGGCACCGCGCGCCGCGGGATGCCGCRGATTTGCTCCCTCGCTGCGCAGGGGAAGGAGCGGGCTCCGCGCGTTCCGCACGCTCGGGACGCACCTGAGTCTGCGTGAGCCCCAGCTGGGCGGCCAGCTCGGCGCGCTCGGGCAGCGCCAGGTACTGGGTCTGCTGGAAGCGCTGGTTGAGAGCCTGCAGCTGCAGGCTGGAGTAGATGGTGCGCGGCTTGCGCGCCCTCCTGCCCCGGCCGCGCAGCTCCCCGGCCGCGCACTTGTCGAGCCCTGCGAGCGGAGAACAGAATTAAACCTCGTGCACGACAAATGTCCCAGGTGCAGCGCCCCATCTGTGGGGGGGGCACTGGGTTTTGCTTGTTCTAGGTTATTTTTGGGGAATGGGAAAGGGCCAAGCAGGGGGAACCTCTTTGTTCGGGGGGCTCTTTTAGTTGGGGGCTGTTTTGGTTGAGGTCCCCAAAAGCAAAGGGRTCCCCAGGGACCCTCGCTGCAAAGCCTGACCCAATGAGCCAGGTTTCCAGCTCAGGTCCATCTCCACCAGCCCTGTGCTTGTCCCTTCCATAGTTTTGAGCATCCTCTGCTCCATCACCAGCCTGGGCAGAGCAGAAACCCAGCAGGTATCAGAGCKGCTGGGAACAAAGTGACCGTGGGCTTAGGGAACACCAGGTCCCCACAGGTCCCCTGGACGTGGCCTCACGCCCACAGGCAGCCTCAGCTCCCTGGAGCCCATGGAGGAACAGGAGGCTGCTAAGCCAAGGACTAACTTCATGCCGTGGGCTCAGCCAGGGTCCCGTTCTGTCCCCCCAGGGCTGATGAGCCCTCAGGCCGCTTCCCTCCGGCGTTGCTCCATTTGCAGCTTATTTGAGAGGAAACCACACCGTCGCAGACTGGGAAGTGCCAGGGGCTGCGATCAGGGCCCATCAGCGCTGGGGGAGAGGGGGGAAGCTGCCCAGCATGGGGGGYGGCTGTGGGGCAAAGGAGGTGGGTGCCGGGACGAGAACACGGCGCTTTCATGCCGCATCCCTGCATTTTCCTCCCCGGACTTTGGGGCTTCCCCCTCCACATCCCGACCCTGCCGCCCCTCACCCTGCACCGGGACGAGCCTCTACCGGGGGGGGCGACGCAGCCCCCTGACGGCCACGGGGCCGGCGCCCTCCCCACCCCGACGGAGCGGCCCGCAGGCTCCTTACCTGCGTCCTGCAGCGGGGCGCCGGGGGCCGGCCCGGCCGGGGGCAGCGGGGCGCCGGGGGGCGGGTAGGGCGCGTAGGGGCCGCCGGGGGGGTCGCCGCTGCCGTAGGGGAAGGGCGCGGGGCGGCCGTAGGAGGCGGCGAAGGGCGGCGGGCCGAGGCGGGGGGCGGCGGGCTGGGCGCCGTGCAGCGGGTAGCGCGGCGCCGCGGGGCGCCCCAGCTCCAGGAAGGCTTTGGGGGGGTCGGGGCCCAGCAGGCTCTCGGCTGCCGAGCTCATGGTCATGGCGACCGGGCCGCGCCGGG